CTTAACAGTGGCCACCCACTTATCCATACTTCCCCCGGTACCCACTTAAGTGAGACTCATTCTTTGAAGAGGCCAATTGCAATTGATCTTGAGGATGAAGCTACATATCCAAGCAAAAGCAAGAAGCGGGCAATTGCTAAAAGAAAAATGCAACCAAAATTCTTGAACAAGAAAGATAATACAAGGGGGTGCCTAATGCTAAATGGACTATAGAGAATGATGACGCATCAATCCCCTTCCTTGCTCAGATGGCGAAGGATGGTCTCAAAGTTAACAAAACCTTTAAGGTGCTCGCATATCGAAAAGCTGCAGAGGAGGTTAACAAGAAGTGTGACACGGAGTTCACAAAGGAGAATGTCATGAACCATGTCAAGTGCTTGAAGGGAAAATATTTTAATATGCACACTGTCATGAACATGAGTGGGGCTGGTTATGATCCACAAACTAAGATTGTCACCATGGATCCAGATTGTTTTGATAGGCGGACACAAGTAATATTTTTTCTTAAATAAGCAAACTTTGAATATTTACTTATGAGTAAACTGATTTTGTAATATTTTATTACACATGACAAAAAATGCAATAGCTCTAGGTTAAAGGAGTATTTGAACACTCCTCTCATTCACTATGAGAATTTGTGTTATATCGCGGGAGATGACCAAGCAAAGGGTGATCGCACCAAATATATGACTGAAAAGCTTGGCTCTAGGCAACATGATATAGTTGATAAGGATCATGTTGATCTTAGTGATAATGAGGTTGCTTTGTCCTCTAGCTCACATCCTGAGCCCGAGAAATTAATTGGGCAAAACATAAACACTCAAGCTAAAAAATTAAAGACTTCTAGTGTGGTAGCTTCTATATCGATTAGTACATCAAATCCTAGAAAGAAGAGTAGCAAGGCTAAAGAGGATGACTCTCTTATGCGCGATTTTTTTGAGACAGTGTCATTCTCAATTCAACATCAACACATTATACATTAGAGTGAGACCATGCGAAGGCTCTAATGGTGCATGAGAATAAGTTTTCTAAGGACACATTGGATAAAGTGCTTGATTACTTGTATGAACATGAATATGATTCTAGGAGGTTGATCATCAAAATAAAAAATGCTCAAAAGTTATTTATAGAGAAGATCATCAACGAGCAAGGATTCTAGGAAGTCATATTTTGGGGTTGACTTTTAAAAACTTGATATTTCACTACTTTTGAAAACTTGACATATCTATTGCTTTTGTAAACTCATTGCATATTTAACTACTTAGTGATGTAATTTGAGCACTTATAGATATGCTGCTAATTATGTAATAAGTTGAACACTTAATGGTGTAACTTCATGCATATTTCACTACTTTTTCCAACATGATGCATATTTCACTAATCCAATTGCGATCTCATTATAATTTGGGTTCTTTTGCAGGTTTATATAAATATGGATGGATATGATACTTGATAGCAACCTACATTGCATGCTATGTATTGGTATTACTATTTTGTATTGTTCAATTTGGGTAAAGATGATGGTCCTATTATGAGAATGCAATCTATAATGTTTTGTGATGTTTAGGTAGGACAATCTAGGATAAGAATGTAACCTATATTGTGTTTACAATGTTAGGTGAGGCAATTTATTCATGTGATTGTAACCTACATTGCAAACATACGAAACATGTTAGCTGCATCCATTCACTTAGACTCATAAGCTATTAATCATCATTATTGAAATTTATAACGCCAAAATGAGCTTATTTAGACTTCTTTTATTAAATTGCCATTTAATAGCAAACAAGTAAATTGGGAATATTGAGACCACTTTTTCATCATCTTTAACCAAACATTGTCATTGACTTAATACTAAATTGTGGTACTTTATTCTCAAGTAAACTATACAACACTATAAAAAACCTGCATATAATCAACAAATATTATTTTTTATAAAAAAGTAAAACAATAAATAGATTCATACACTAAATATGGTCCATTAAATTAATCAATATGATACATTTTCAAATATATTTCTTTTAGGAAAAAAGGGGCCTAAAAGACCCCAGTCAACAGTCGTATTACCATTCCTAACTTACAAAGTAGCTTTCATCACCAATAATAAGATGAAAGCACTATAAGTATTTTTACAGATTTAGCCATGATTACATGAAACCCACACACAAAAGAAAAACAGAGATGAAACATATTCAAACATACTTACCAAAAAAGTAAAAATATAAGTAAAGTCAATTAAATTAACCAATACTATACATATTCAAATATACTTCTAAGAAAAAAAGGGCTCTAAAAGAGCGGATAGCTGTACTACCATTCTCAACTTACAGAGTAGCTTTCATCCCCAACAAAAAGATGAAAGCACCATAAGCATTTTTACATATTTAGTTATGATTACATGAAACCACACACAAAAGAAAAATAGCGACAAAACATATTCAAATATACCTACAAAATATATAGTCTCAACTCGAGTTATGCGTATATGAATCACCATATCGGCACTAACCAATCAACTCAATATGCCCACAAGGACAGCCTAGACTGAATCCTCACAAACTACATATTTTTTCACAGTTCGAGACTCAATCTTATAAAAACCAAAATTACAAATAGTGAATTCAAATCTAAAAAGTTCTACAAAAAAAGATTAAGAATTTCTTAAAAAGGTTAAGAATTTTCAATAAAACCAATTATGCAAAAGGATTCCTAGTATGATAGGACATGTAAATTCATTGTCCATATACTTATAAACTGAGAATAAAATTTAGTATAGTGTGAAAAATTAAATAACTACATATGACATGTACAAATTAATTAATAATTATACATAAATTATATCTAGTTTGGTTGTTTGCATATTATACTATCCTAACAAAAACTAAAGTATTCAATAAAATTTGGTGGGTTCTAAAATATTTGTGCGTCTTGCTGCATATTTATGTAGTTCTGACTTGGGAAACCGAGAGAGCATAAAATCTCACTTGGTTTCCATCTTACAAAAAAGTAAGGAAAAGTTCAAACTCACTATTAAACCTGTGCTGAAGAATAAAATGGATGGGGGCAATGCAGAGGAGGAATTAGGTGAAAGTTTGGGCTTAATACAGATTGATGTACTGCTAAAAAAATCCTTGAGATGTTGTTAGTATTCGAAAGTAGGAACTTTTTAGAGTCAATTTCAGGTGGAGATGGAGAGGGGAGTCGTATTTGAATTTGTTTATACAAAGAGGTAAGGAGGTTGAGTGATGAAAGAGAAGAGAAAGAGATTTTGAATTTTAATGAAGATATGCTATTATTATGACAAAAGAGGAGATGTGGAGATGAACCTGTAAAGGCTACAAAATAATGAGTTGTTAATTTCATTAATTTAATTAGAATAGGTTTAGGCGTAAAATTGTCCATACAAAGTCTTACCCATACTCCCTCTTTTAAAGGGAGTATGATATGATATGATGATTGAAAGGGTAAAATGATAATTTAACAAAAGAGATTTTGTCCCTTTATTCTAGAATATTCTATTCATATCTTGCCATAAACATAGATAAAACCTATACAATTAAATATTCACTTTTTCTCTTTGTAGTTTCTAGAATATTTTAATCATTATTTTTTCATAAGACATAGATAAAGTCTGTATAATTTTGCTAATAAATAAAACTTTATATAATATTGTTATAGTCATTCTAGTGTTGAAAAACAATTTCCAATCAAGCCCAGACAAGTGTCCCACATCATGCGTAATCGAGTCCACACTTTAAGATAACCAAAAGCCAAATTCGGTTTACTCGACACGCCGACATCTTGTGAGGGCGTCTCGAAAGGCGTTACGTGTCGACCCCTGGCTAAGGCGACTGCTTAATCACTCCACTCGACCGACTAATCGGTCGACATCTTGGGTAGGCGACTCAAAAGGGGGTACTTCTTAACCACCGGATGAGTGGAAAGACAACAAAATACCTCGAGCCTCAAGCCCCCTCTTGTCTACTGACAACTGATCACATTGTAATAAATGTCATTAAATATTATGGGCACCACCATTCCTCTACCCTCAATAGTATTTATCACACATCGGACCATGTCGACACCGCACACCCTAATCATTTTGCATTAAATACCGAAGTGACATCTCCTCCACTCGTCGGCCGACACCTGTAAAGCAGAGCCTGACGTGACCACCATCCCATACTCGACCGAAGTTACAATTTTACTCTTCTACCACCACTATAAATAGGGATACTATTTTTAATAATAAGGGAAGATCTTTACATTTACCTACTGTGCTTAAGAACTACTATAATTTATTTTATTTCACCACTCAAGCAAATCACCGACTTGATCGTCAGAGGAGCAATTAGTGAACCCAACTCCGCCCTCTTATGATTTGCTACTTGACATTCAGAGGGTTAGAACACCTCCGTCAACTTAATCACTTATTTCATTTGATTGTTTGACATCAGCCATCAACAAATATTATGAAGTTTAGTTAATTAAATCATGACACAAATAAAAAATAATGAATTTGAACTAAAATTTAACAAGGATTGTGGCCATAAAGTATGGTTCAGATGATAATTGATTCGATGCCAATTATAGATAGCCACGAAATTCGATTTCTGCACTATTCATCTCGAAAACAAAAAAGGAAAAAAAAATCAATCGCTTCTGTTAACTAAAACTTTACTCCTTTCATTGAATTAATTTCCACGAACAAACGTATAAAATTTTAAGCAACAATTATCCTTTGAGTTGCACACAGAAGAATGTCATTATCAATATTGAATTAATTTCGATAATTTATTTCTTAGCACGTGCGTAATGCACGTGTCTACGTTCTAGTATACGTTGAACCACTTTTGGTAAATATATACACCCACACAAAATGAATAAAAATAGTATATTATAGTATATTCCACCAAAAAGCAAAAAAAGTACATTATTATTATACAATAAGGTCACGGGTCGGGCATTAACAACTTGTCGGGTCTGTAAATATAAATCCCCAACCCGCTAGCCTGTAGTAACTCCTCCCGTCCTCTCAGGTCCTCACACAGTCGGTCCTCAGCTCGTAGATCTCCTCCTCCTCCATCATCGCTCAATTCGATTTCAAAGCGAAAAATAACGAAACTCAAATCGAAACGGTAATTTCTCTTCCTACCTAATTTAGGGTTTACGTCTCGATTTCTAGGGTTTTAGTTTTGTGTCACTTGTAAATAGCGATGATTTGGGAATTAGGGTTCCTCTTTTGTTAGTTTTGACTAATGCTAATAATTACAGGATTCATGTCTACTTCTTTCTATCGTAGAGTTTTGACTAATGCTAATAATTACAGGGTTAACATGCACATTCCGTTTTAAGTTTCAATAAAAATGCATCTTTTAGTAAAACAAATCAAAAGTACAACAAAATTATTTGTTTATTTGTTGTTGATGATATGTTGGAGGCATTTTTGTGACGCGTGTTTCATTAACAGGAGTTATGGCCGCCGCAGAAGAGAACAGCTCTCTCTTTCTAATATTCATCTTAACTATAATGGCTCTGCCTCTAGTGCCTTACACAATTGTCAGGCTATGCCGTGCATTTTCTAGGAAGACGAAGAGTATCCACTGCCAGTGTGTTGAATGTTCGCGGTCCGGGAAGTATCGGAAATCCATTTTTAAACGGGTAGTTCGGCGTTCTAACTGTTGGCGGTACCTATTTGTTATTACACAATTTTTTTATATTTATCTCTACCTTGCATGCAGATATCAAACTTCTCAACTTGTAGCAATCTTACACTAGTGTTGCTTTGGGTCAAAATCAAAAGTACAACAAAATTATTTGTTTATTTGTTGTTGATGATATGTTGGAGGCATTTTTGTGACGCGTGTTTCATTAACAGGAGTTATGGCCGCCGCAGAAGAGAACAGCTCTCTCTTTCTAATATTCATCTTAACTATAATGGCTCTGCCTCTAGTGCCTTACACAATTGTCAGGCTATGCCGTGCATTTTCTAGGAAGACGAAGAGTATCCACTGCCAGTGTGTTGAATGTTCGCGGTCCGGGAAGTATCGGAAATCCATTTTTAAACGGGTAGTTCGGCGTTCTAACTGTTGGCGGTACCTATTTGTTATTACACAATTTTTTTATATTTATCTCTACCTTGCATGCAGATATCAAACTTCTCAACTTGTAGCAATCTTACACTAGTGTTGCTTTGGGTCATTTTGGGGATTCTGGTTTATTATATCAAACACATAAGCGAAGAGGTACATTGATTTTTTTGGGGTCTTCTTATCTTTTGGTTTCTGCCCTTTTTTTTACTCGAATCATGTATGAACTTTATCTTTTCACTACTTATCATTATATAATTAGATCCACTGACTTTAACTGTCTTTTCTTTTTCATATGTTATGTTTTAGTCTTGTTCTATTGCCATTATTTTGTTTGATGATAACAGTAAATGTATTAAAGGGATGTTGTGGGATAGCTCCTCATGAGCGTATATTGGAGAGGCTAGACTTTACCGACACATTCGATATGAAATGGATCTAGTGTTTTGGAGGTTTATTCAGATGTAATCTGCTGTAGTGTTGCAAAAGCAGAAACATATGTTAGTGGGAAAACATAATGGAGAAAGAGATTCCAAAATTCATAACTGACGATGTTCACGCTTAGACTGCATATTTATCGAGCTTATATCTATCCAGAGGTTGCGATAGTAAAACTGTCATTAGCATGTTAGTTGGTATTGCTTGCCCATAGATGTTCATGGCAATATATTGGACTGGTCTTCATTTAGTTACAGAAAGAAATTTAATCGGGAAACTGGGTAACTAGTGATCTTCCCATCTTAATCAAGAAGCTTCTAATGGGAACTGAGTTGTTAAAGAGTAGCGTCAGTTTTGAGAGTCTGATTTACTTTATCTGGCTGCAACATAATCTGCATTCACATCTTTCCTTCAATAAATGGTGAAGCTTACATCATTTTGTTTTGCTTAACAATTGACTACTTCCTCTCTGTCAATGTAGACTTAATAATCTGGTAGTTTTTAAACCAAGCTATTATGATGTATACCTTGTGATTATGTTTTGATATCCAATTTGATTATTAACATCTCTTTTCATTTCCAGAGCCAACCATTTGAGCCATTCAGTATTCTTGGACTAGAGCCAGGGGTTTCAGACTCTGAAATTAAGAAGGCATATCGTAGACTCTCAATTCTCTACCATCCTGATAAAAATCCTGATCCAGGTTGTCAACAATATTTCATAACACTGCTTGAAGTTTATAAAGTATAATTGATCCGTATTTTGACTTAAGCTGCATGCTGTTATTTCAGAGGCACACAAGTACTTCGTGGAATTTATATCCAAGGCCTATCAGGCCCTCACTGATCCTATATCTCGAGAAAATTTTGAAAAATATGGCCATCCAGATGGCCGTCAGGTAGCTAACCCTTTCTTACATGAACTGTTCAAGTTATGTTGGGGGCTTTAGTTTCATGTGTCCCGAGCTCCTTTCTCTGATAATTTAGAAACTTCATTCTGTTTCCTCTTTGCTGTTCTTTGATCTGGTTCTGTGTTTCAGGGACTTCAAATGGGGATTGCTTTACCTCAGTTTTTGATGAATTTTGATGGAGCATCTGGTGGAGTACTTTTGATTGGAATTGTTGGAGTTTGCATACTTTTGCCGTTGATGATAGCAGTCATATATCTCTCGAGGTCATCAAAATATACTGGCAATTATGTTATGCGTCAAACTTTGTCCACATATTATTATTTCATGAAGCCTTCTTTAGCTCCAAGGTGAATCTATTGCTTACTGTTTCTATATTTTCTAATTTCATTTTTAGAAGCTTGTTCTGGAGTCTAGTTATACATGGAATTTATTAGTGGTATTTTTTAGTTAATCTTAAAATTGTGTGATGATTCTTTAGGCTGCAAATAAACTATGATATCGACAAGTAGTTGCTGAGGAAAGAATGATAGAGGATAATTTTTTTTGAGCTCATTCTTCCAGTTTTCATCCAGTTGGCTTCTCTTAGAAGAAGAGTTAGACCCTTAACTATCGTCTTTTGTTTACTGTGTTGTTGAATTAGTCATTTACATAAAATTGACGTCTCTGATCTTTGTTTTTCACACTAAGCTCTTAGTGTAAGTTACACACCATGATTCTATGTTTATGCGTAAAACATACTGATGATGTTCGCTGATGAGTATTGTCAAGCCTGTAGGATTCATATAGGCATATCTAATGCCCAACAAGCCACTGATTCTGGGGTCCAAAACCGACCTGCTTTTCAAGACAAAGTCGCTGTTTCCTTATCGAAATTGCTCTATCATGGGCCTACTCATGTTGCCCATGTATGAGAAAGATATTTCCTCATCCAAATCCATTTTGATATGGACAGCAACCCCTGTTGTCCGCAGCTTCCTTGTCTACGCACTTGACATTAATTTGGACACGAATGGCATCAAGTTGACAACCATAGTAAATAAATAATAAAAAAACCTGTCAATCATTCATGAAGCCTTCTGATCCATAGCAAACCCCATTTCTACGGGAAAAAAGACTTTGGTGATAATGATTATTATTTCATGTTCAAATCCCAGTACTATATACATACATGTACAATAATCGTGAATCCTACTTAATGACAGGTCTCTGTACATTTGTATTTGTATCACCGTAACCAGGGGCAGAGGATTGACATACATGTATAGGGGTGCAGTTGCACCCGTACAAATTGGTAAATTACATATAATCGTTGCTAATATTTACAATAAAAAAAAGAACTTGCACCCCAGCACCCCAAACTATTTAACAACACTAAATAAGTTAGTAGCAAATAAAATTAACCCAATGAAAAATTAAAAACCATTTAACTTTTCAACAATCAATGCTCACAATACATATGATGTAATAGAGCTGATAGTGTATCGAGTGCATTCCCATCCGGTACAATAGTTTAATAATATTATATTTTTATTTTTAGCTAAATAGATGCTTGTTGTACGCCCTCCCCCCCAACACTTCGAAAGGTTTTTTGGATCCGCCACTGATTGTAACCATAAAAAGAAATATTCGTTCATTTGTTTGTTTATTCACCAAGCTTTTGAAAGGAACTGTAACTCTTTCAAATTAGTTAATTTTTCAAGTACTTCTTCGTCACTGACCAAACATCACGTACAGCAAGGTTATGGATGTCTTCATCAAGGCTGCAGAATACATGGAGATGCCAGTTCGTAGAAGTGATGATGAGCCTCTTCAGAAACTCTTTGTGGCAGTCAGAAGTGAACTGAATCTGGACCTTAAAAACATTAAGACAGAGCAAGCAAAGTTCTGGAAACAGCATCCATCTTTAGTTAAGGTAGAGTTTCATGTTGATATTTAGCAATTGGCAGGGTATGATAAGTGTTTCCCTTCTGATTGCATGTTCATGACACCAACTCTGATTCACTACCACTGTAGCACAATATTCCTCACTGTTGCACCCTTATGTGGTGGCAGTTGATCCTGTCATTAGTAGTCCATAAAGTGTCTTGTCTATATATACCATGCAATTAATTTATAATTTTGATTTGTATGGCTTGAAACTCTCTCCTACCCTTACTATTTCTTACTGTAAATTCCAGATGGAGTTGTTGATTCAGGCTCAATTAACTCGTGAAGCAGCTTTATTATCTCCATCTCTCCAGAGTGATTTTAAGAGAATGCTAGAACTTGCACCTCGCCTTCTTGAAGAATTACTGAAGGTGATTTAGCTGAAGCTTGTTGTCTTTATGGCTGAGAATTTTCATGCACTTTCTTATTAACTTAATTTGAATATACTAGTCTTTTCCATGCACAAAGCCTTTTGCTGGTTTAGCACTTTAGCTAAAAAGAGCAAGGGAGATTTTAACTCTTGTAGACCGAAGTATGGAAGACTGAACTGTGTACAGTTTTGCAGTTTTTCTTTGGGAACTGTTTGTAATGGCAGATCTTTAATAGGCTTTGAAGATGTTGAGTTTAGCACTTGTTGTTGTTGTTTTTTTTGTGTGTGTGTGCGCGTGTGTGTGTGTGTGGAAGAAAGGATATCGGAGAAGTAGAGGTGAACCAAGTTATGGCGATATATACTGTTGGTTGTTTTTTATGGATGGAGTGTGCAAGACTGTAGGAGGATTGGAATCTGAAATTTTGCTTCAACATCAGTGGAGGCAACATTTTTATGTTTGACCAAGCCAGAATGTTGTATTTTCATTTTACTATCTTCACATATTTAAATAAAAATCAACTTTTTTTTTATGACTGGCATAGTAATAGGGACTTGGAATATAATTAGAAATTCTTTGGTCAGCCACTTATTATGTATAATAAAATATAGAATATGCAAGTTGAAAATGTGATATTTGCACAATGTTGCTAAGGTTTAAGATTTATTCCATTTTTTCTCTATTGATTTTGTAGAAGAAACAAAGCCAATGCTTTATTCATATTTATGAATCTATTCATTCTCAATCTTTTACGATCAACTCAAGAAGCTTAGTCTTACCAGTTTAATATAATATTATCAGAGGACAAAATTTTCCAATATCGTCTTCTGACTAATGTTCATTTATGAACTTATAATGGATATGAGCACTACTTTTTCCCCCAATTGCATGAACCTAACAAATACTTGTAATGGTTATATGCAACAGTGAATATTCTTATTATGCTTTCTGTTACCTTTTATCCCTTAATTCTGGTCAGGAATACTTAGTTCACATTATGCCCTTTTTTGTAATACTATTTCTTTACATTCATATTCTCATACACAGTAATGTATCTCTTTTAATTGCAGATGGCTGTAGTACCACGCAGTTCCCAAGGGCATGGCTGGCTGAGACCAGCAGTTGGGGTAGTTGAGCTTTCTCAGTGTATCATCCAGGTGATTCGTTATTAATTGCTTTGTTTAGGTTTCTCTGAGCATGGTTTCCTTTTGTTTTTTGATATAGGTTAGAAAATAGTGATATGTCAAATGTCAAGTGTACTAAATATTCACCAATTTCCTTCATCTGCTTTAGATTAATCCAGCCAATTTTCATGATTACAATCACCTTTTGAACTATTCAGTAGACCTGAACTATAGACTTCTTAATCTTACAGTTCAATGTTTAACAACATAATTTTTCAATGTTTAACAATATAATTTTATGTGTTACTACAACCTCATAAATGTTACAATAATTTAATTATAGTGCTAGAAATATGGGTTCTTAATAATGTTACTTGTTGCTTCATGTTAAAAGCTACATGCACGTATGCTGAATTTTTTTTTGTGTTTGCGGCGAGAGTTTGTTTGAAATCTATTCTGGACAACAAATTGCAATTAGGTGTACTTCAAAACTTGCCTTATGTGTACTTCAAAATTCGTTATTTTCGCTCATTATAGCTCACAATTTTTGTCCATTTTCGTTTGTTTCGACCAAATAGAATTAGTTATGCATATTCTTCAAAATTCTCACTTTTCTTGGGCTATAACCCACAATTTTTGCCCATTTTCGTGCTTTTTGATATAATAACAATTAAATATGCATACTTCCAAATTTGCTACTTTTGTAGGTGATAACTCATAATTTTTTCCATTTTCGATCATTACAAGCCAATAACAATTGAGCACGCGTAGTTCAAAATTCACGATTTTCATGAGTTGTAACCCATGATCATTTGTTACCGCCCAAATGCATTTAAATATGCATACTTCATTTCAAAAATTGCTATTTTAATGGGCTATAGCGGATGATGGTTGTACATTTTTGTTCATTTCGACCTAATGACAATTAATTGTGCGTACTTTAAAGTTCATAATTTTCACGGGCCTATGATTTTTTCCCTCCATTTTATATGTTACAATGACAATTAAGTATGCGTACTTTAGAATTCGCGATTTTTAGGGTCTATTAACCCACTATTATTTGTCCATTTTGGTTCGTTCTGACCCAACAACAACCAAGTATGCATACTCAAAAATTCATGATTTTCATTGGTTATAACCCACGTTTTTGTTCATTTACATCTGTTTTGACCTGATGGCAACTAATTATGCATACTTGCAAATTCGCGATTACCATAAGTTATAACCTATGATATTGACCATTTTGTTCGTTGATCCCAATGGCAATTAAATATGGGTTTTTCCAAAAATTCTTCATTTTCATGACTACAACCCATGTTTCGACCTAGTGAAATTAACCCATGATTTTTTTTTTGTTTCAACCTAATGGCAATTAAGTTTGTATATTTTAAAGGTCGCGAGTTTAATGGGATATTACCCACTATTTTTCTCTATTTACATTCTTTTCAATTCAATGTCATTTAAGTATTCATACTTCAAAATTTATGATTTTTTTTGGTATTCCTATTTTTTTGTCCATTTCATTCTTTTCAACATAATGATAATTACATATGCATACCTCAAATTCGCGAATTTCATGGTCTATATCCCACCATTTTTATTTGTTTTCATTTGCTTATGCCCAATCGTAATTAAGTGTGTGTAGCTCAAACTCACTATTTTCATGGTTTATATCCCTTATTTTGTTTTTTTCGTTTGTTTCAACCTAATGAAATTAATTATGCGTACATGCAAATTCACGATTTTCATGGGCTATATTGATCATTTTTACTGTTTAGAACCCAATGATAATTAGGTATGTCTTCTCCAAAATTTGTGATTTTCATAGGTTATAATCCAAGATTTTTGTCCATTTTTATTCGAAACTCAATATAATTAAATATATGTACTTCAAGATTCCCGAAGTTATGGACTTTATCCTACTATATTTGTACATTTTTGTTTGTTACAATTTGATGGTAATTAAGTATGCATCCTTAAAGATTGGCTACTTTTCATGAGCTAATGACCCACGATTTTGCCCATTTTTGTTCTTTCAACCATATAACAATTAAATATGTGTATTTCAAAATTTACAATTTTCATTAGCTATTCTGTTCATTTTTGTTCATTTAGACCCAATGACAATTAGGTATGCGAACTTCAATATTTGCGATTTTCATGGATGATAATCCAAGATTTTCTTCAATTTTCATTCTTTTCAACCCAATAACAATCAAGCATGCGTACTTCAAAATTCATGATTTTCATGGATTATGCAACCCACATTTTTTGTTCATTTCTGTTTGTTTTGATCTAATGATAATTAAGTATGCATTTCAAAACTCAATATTTTATGGGCTTAGCCCATAATTTTTGTTCATTCTCGTTCTTTTCGATCTAGTGACAATTACATATGCAACCTTCAAAATTCACGATTTTTATGGACGATAATTGATTTTTTTAAAGTTTTTTTTCCTTTCAACCCAATAACAATCAAGTATGCATGCTTCAAAATCATGATTTTCACGGGCTAACCTATGATTTGTTTCTTTTTGTTTGTTTCAATTTAATGACAATTATGCGTAGTAAGTTCAAATCTGCATGTATATGGGCTATAACTTATGATGGTTGTAAATATTCATTCATTTTGACCTAATGACAATTAACTATGATTAATTCAAAATTCACAATTATCATGGATTATAACCTACGATTTTTGTTCATTTTCTTCTGTTCTACACCTATTGGCAATTAAATACATGTAGTTTATAATTCACTATTTTCATTGGGTTTAGCCTGTAATTTTTGTCCATTTTTGTTCATGTCAACCAACCGGAAATTATATTTGTGAACTTCAAATCCATGGTTTCATGGGCTCTTACCTACAATTTTTTGTCCATTTTCGTTCGTATCGACTCAATGGCTATTAATATGCAAACTTCTATATTCGTAATTTTCATGAATAATAGCCCACAATAGTTTGCCCCTTTTAGTTTGTTTTGATCTAATTGCAATTAGTCATGCATGCTTCAAAATTTGCTACTGTAATGAGCTCACCCTCGATTTGTCAATTTTCATTTCTTTTGACCTAATGACAATTAATTATGGACACTTCTCAATTCGCGATTCTCGTACCATTTTTGTCAATTTATTTATTTCGACCAATTAGTATTTAAGTATCCGTAGTATTTAAGCGTATTTCCAAAGTTGTAATTTTTATGGGTTCCATTTTTGTATATTTCGATTCAATGACAATTTAGTATGCGTACTTCAAAACCGCAATTTTCATGGACTATATCTTATGATTTTTGTTCATTTTTGTTCGTTTATACCTAATAACAATTAAATATGTATATTTCAAAAGTCGTTATCTTCATGGGGCTATATCCCGTTATTTTTGTTCATTTCAACCTAATGAAATTAATTATGCTCAAAATTTGTGATTTTCTAGGCTATAACATGTCCATATTTGTTTGTTTAAATCCAATGCCAATTAAGTAGGCGGTCTTCAAAATTACTGATTTTAATGGGCTTATAATCCATAATTTTCTCTAGTTTTGTTCAGTTGGAACCAAAGGCATTTATGTGCGTGTACTTCAGAATTCACGAGTTTTGTTTGCTGTATAAGTTACAATTTTTGTTTGTTTTCGTTCGTTTGGGTCAAATGACAATGAAGTATCCGAATTTAAAATTCGCAATTTTCATGGGCTATAACCAACGACTTTTGTTTATTTTGTTTAAAACGAATTTTTAAGTACACACACTTAGTAGTCATTAAGTCAAAAGAATGATAATGGACAAAAGTTATTGGTTCTACCCCATGAAAATGACAAGTTTTGAACTATGCATACTTAATTGTCATTGGATAGAAATGAATAGAAATGGACCAAAATCGTAGACATGTGAAAAGCGCGAATTTTAAATTCAAAGGTTTTGACACTTTAAACAATTTGTAAAAATATTCAAATGACCTCCAAAAATTGTGTAACTTTGTAAATTATTTTTAACACTAAAAACAAACTATTTAGAAAAGGAATTTTGTAAATAGGTCCTCATACTTGTGAAAAATGATATTTTGTGAAAACGCTCAAAACTATAAGTATGAAAACGTGTATGTGATATCCCAATAGGTTCAGATGAAATCTAAACTACTTGCCTACATTCTAGCACTAGAGAGAAAATAAAAACTAGCTAATATCCTCACATACTATGCATACTTAATTGTCATTGGATAGAAATGAATAGAAATGGACCAAAATCGTAGACATGTGAAAAGCGCGAATTTTAAATTCAAAGTTCGTCATTGGACCCAAACGAAATGACACGGTCACATTACCAAAATCGTAAACATGTGAAAAACGCGAATTTTATATCGGGTCTAATGACATTTGTTTAAAACGATATTGAATAAGAGGATATAACAAATTTGATACCTAAATTACAATAGTCTGCCCCATATTCCTCATATAAAAACATGAAGAGAAAAAAGACTTCGTTTCAGATACAATACCTCGTCATTGTCATGGGTTATAGACCATGACTTTTTTTCCTTAATGAAACTTAGAATAAACACATTTAAATATGCATACTTCAAAGTTCGTCATTGTCATGGGTTATAGACCATGACTTTTTTCCTTCGTTTTGACCCAATGGAATTAATTTGCATATTTTAAAATGCACAAATTTGATGGGCTTAGATAATCCATGATTTTTGTCCATTTTCATTCGTTTCAGCCAAATGACAATTAAATATAACCTATGATTTTTGTTCATTTTTATTTGTTTCAACCAATTGACAATTAAGTACGCGTATTACAAAATTCATGATTTTTATGGGCTCATGATTTATGCAAATTTTGTTTGTCCCAATCCGATGATGATTAATTTTGTTGTACATCAAAATGCTCAATTTTTATGGGATGTAACATGTAACGCATGATTTTTGTCCAATTTCATTTGCTTCGACCTAATGGCAATTAAGTATGTGGTTTTTAAAATTTGCGATTATCATGGGCTATAATTCACGATTTTTGTTCATTTTCGTTCGTTTCAACCTAATAACAATCAAGTATACATACTTTAAATTTACAATTTTCATGGGCTATAGCCCATGATTTTTGCCTATTTTAGTGTGTATCGATCCAATGTCAATTAAGTATGCATATTTCAAAAATCTTCACTTTATTGGGCTATAGCCTATCTGCCCATGATGTTTGTTCGTTTTTCGTTTGTTCGACCAATGACAATTAAGCAATCATACTTCAAAATTCGCGTTTTTCACATGTCTACGATTTTGGTCCATTTCTATTCATTTCTATCCAATGACAATTAAGTATGCATAGTTCAAAACTCGCCATTTTCATGGGTTAGAACCAATAACTTTTGTCCATTATCATTCTTTTGACTTAACGACTACTAAGTGTGTGTACTTAAAAATTCGTGATTTTTATTGGTTTAACCCATGTTTTTGTTTATTTTGTTCATTTTGACCCAATCACAATTAGTTATGTGTGCTTTCAAATTCGCGAGTGTCATGGACTTGAAGTCTATGATTTTTGTCTCTTTTCATTCTTTTTTTATGCTCAATGACAATTAAGTATGCCTACATGCTGTAGGAATCACTGAACACATCATTCCATACCCTTAGTTGATGCCCTTCTCGGATTTTTTCCACTTCGCATATAAAAAGACATGAATCACTTATTCTGCTTATTTCACGCATGTTTTTCCTCGAATGGGCTGTTTATGTTGTTTATGTTTAACTTGTCGGGCTGTTCAGTGTCGTTTATGTTTAACTTGTCGGGCTGTTCAGCGTCGTTTATATTTTACTTGTTGATTTTTATGCTTCATGTTTTAATCATTGTTGTCTGTTGGTATCAAACAAGTGCAGGCAGTTCCTCTGAGTGCAAGAAAAATAACCGGAGGAAATTCAGAAGGCATTGCGTCCTTTTTGCAGCTTCCACATGTCAGTGAGACAATTGTTAAGAAAATTGGACGAAAGGTAATCAAATATAGTTGTTGGCTCTTTTTCTTGTAGTTAGCAGCATATCACTACTAGACTTTTCTTTTTGTTATGGAAGTGAAAGAAACACATACTTGTTTTGTCTGAACACAATCTCTTGCATGAGTGATAATATGAAATTATTGTACAAAATCAAATCACCTATTTTCCACCATGGGCCATGCGTTGTCCATGATCATTTAGTGATCACATGGGAACCCAGTGACTTATTGCTTGATTTCTTATTACTTCATGTTTAGTCTTTGAAGTCAATTGCCCTTCCGAGCCAGAAAATTGTGTTACTCTGTAGCCTATTCAGAGGATGAGTTTCAAAGCATATGCCTACATGTTCCAGGAGTGGCAACTATATTTAAGGGCCATAATAGAGAACTGTATATTTGATACATATGCTTGATTTGTATGATCAGTGAAACTCAAGTCAAATCTCCATAAAACTAGGTTGATGGGGTTTCTTATTGTCGAAACGTAACCAGTGACCACAATTGTCAAGTGTCAAACATATATTTCATAAATCCTCACCGTGACAAGATATCACCAAAATATTAATGTTTATGTATGGGAACACCCACCTGCTTAATGGTGCTGGTATAATTTGTCATACAAAGAGTCAACATATTCAACGTTTATTTTTTCCCCTTCGTTTTATATTTTTATATACCTTTGACATGTGTTGCTAGTTTACTCTGTTACTGTTGGACAACTAATTGTCTGTCTTGAGAACCCACTATCACAATGGGTATTAGATCATGAACCCAATCCAAGTTTTCTCAAGATATTCCATCAAATTATGTCCACCTTTACTTTTCTTTAAATTTACAATCTGTTAATACTTTACAGAAAGTGCGAACATTACAAGAACTTCAAGACATGACAGTAGAAGACCGTGCCGAGCTCCTAACTCAAGTCGCAGGTCTCTCTCCCTCCGATGCCCACGACATTGAAACTGTTCTTGACATGATCCCTTCCATTACTGTTGACATCACCATTGAAACCGAAGGAGAAGAGGGTATTCAAGAAGGTGACGTTGTCACTATGTACGCTTGGGTCACTCTCCATCGTAAAAATGGCTTAATCGGTGCCCTTCCTCATTGCCCATATTACCCTTTCCACAAAGAAGAAAGCTTTTGGTTATTACTTGCAGATTCAGTCTCTAACGAAGTATGGATGTCTCAAAAGGTAAGTTTCATGGACGAGGCTGCAGCTGTCGCTGCCGCCTCCAAGGCAATTCAAGAAACGAAGGAGAGTTTAGGTGCGAGTTTGAAGGAAATAAATGTTGCAGTGAGAGAAGCTGTTGAGAAAGTGAGAAGTGGGTCAAGATTGGTTATGGGTAAGTTTCAGGCTCCCGCAGAGGGAAGCTACAATCTGAGTTCTTTCTGTTTGTGTGATGCTTGGATTGGTTGTGATCGGAAAACGAATGTAAAACTTAAAGTTTTGAAAAGGAGTAGGGCGGGAACTAGAGGACATGTGGCTGAAGAAGGGCCGCTGGCAGAGGAGGGTATCGAAGAGGAAGAAGACGAGGAAGAAGAGGAATATGATGATTATGAGAGTGAGTATAGTGATGATGAGGAGGAAGATAAAAAGAAGAAGGGTAAGGTCGCCAATGGTGTTGGTCACGAGGAAGGAGATTCTAGTGATGAAGGATCTGAAAGTGATGAGTGAATGCATTGGCTGTTGGGAGAAATTTGTGACTTGTTTTCTCTGGTTGGAGGTCCACCCACCTGGAATTTCCGTTTTAGAAAACTGTATCGTTGAGGTACTGGATCAAATTTTGTGGGCTGGGTTGGAATTGAATTATACAAAACATGTAATCGTAAGCGTTTTAGACAGAGAGATGGAGAGACCCATAATGAGTTTATATCGGCCTCTAAGAAATTTTGCATACAT